GAATGTGCAGGTACACATACATACACACACACACACACACACACACACACACATTTATAACATAATCTCTACTTGTAGGATCTGCAGATCACTATAGTATCTTCTTCCAAGAATGTGCAGGTACACATACATACACACACACACACACACACACACACACACACACAAAAACATAATCTCTACTTGTAGGATCTGCAGATCACTATAGTATCTTCTTCCAAGAATGTGCAGGTGTACACACACACACACACACACACACACCATAATCTCTACTTGTAGGATCTGCAGATCACTGTAGTATCTTCTTCCAAGAATGTGCAGGTACTCATACATACATGCAGACATACAGACATACATATATAAAACATAATTTCTGCTTGTGGGATCTGCAGATCACTGTAGTATCTTCTTCCAAGAAGGAAGGAATCCATGAAGGGAATTTGCCATTTAGAAGAGGCCCTCCCCTTCCTGCAGTTTCAGTTGTGTTCCAAGTGGTTTATACGCCAGAGAGAGTGCAAAGTAATTCACCTCAGCAACCAAGCTGCTACTAGCTGCCCAGGTATGCAAGGGGTGTGGCACAGCTGGGAGGTTTGCCTGCGAAGGGACCAGTAAGTCTCTCAAGTCATACAAGAAGCTCATAACTTCTACGTGCCAGTCAGATGTTGCTAGCTTTGTGTCCCAAGGAGAAATGATAGCAGCAGAAGCAAAGAGCTGAGAAGAACAGACTTTTGCCCAGTAAGTAATTCCAATAATATTGGGGATGCATTCCTTGGGGTAGGTCTGATGGGTGTGACCAAAAGGATCTTTTTGTGAATCTCTCATATTGAAGGGGGATTTGGGGAACAGAGTGAGGTGGTTAGGAACCTGATTCACCATTTCCAGGGACTTTGATAGTACTTGAGTATTGAGTATTGAATATTGAGTATTGAAACTGGGAATAACAGAAGAGCAGTTCAGGACTCTGGGCTTTGAATTGAGATCAAGGCAGTTTTCCTTCACCCCATGCTTTCAAGCAGTTGGAGTGCAGATTGGAGGACATCGCCTTTCTTTCTGGAGAGCATCAGTTTTGAGGAAAACTGGTCTAAGTCATCAATGTTTCAATAGAAGTGGGCATCACTTTGGAAGCCAAATGTTAATATGTTTAGCAGGATTGTGAGCCATAATGGAGAGACTAATGATACCCGCCAAAAAAGGATGGGATAGACAGGCAGGAGGAAGACTGAGGCTATATAGGGTGGAAGGATCTTGGAAGTCTTTTAATGCAATCTCTTGCTCAAGGCAGGAGTCATGCAATCATATCATATATATCAACCAAGATGTCTCTTTTTCCCTGAGTTTTTGGGGGGAAAGTAGTTTTTTTTTTAAAAAAATGTGTGGTTTTGGGATGTTCTCTGCTGCATCATTGGGGGAACAGTCGTATCAATGGTTAGCAATCATAGCTAGAAGAGTTACTGAAAAAGAAGAATATTTGTAACTCGTGGTTGAAATGAGGCACACTTGGTTCTCTCTGAGCTTGGTTGGTTTTTTTTGCAGATGTTTCATTACCCAAAGTAGCTAACATATTTTGGGTAATGAAACATCTGCAAGGAAACAGACATGCTAAAGAGCACCAAGGACCCCCTCAGGTAAAAGTGATTCTGTGTTCACGGTTTGCTCATTCGACATTAGAGGACAATTCTCTGTGCTCTCTGGGAAGGGCACCTGAATCATGGAAACTTACTCAAAAGCCGACTCTGAAGTTGGGCAACCAGGAACTCAAAGAATAGTTGAAATAAAGTGTGATTGTTGCAGGCTGCCAACACGGATTATGCAAGGTGGGGACTGAGCTGTTCAGCTCCTAGTGGCCTGCCTTGACCGAGGGTGCTGAAAGTTATAATTCAGCCACAATGATATTACAGGGTATAGAATTGCTGTTCTCTGCCCTTTTGAACAGATTACTTCTAAAACACTGGAGCTGGAACCGAACCCTCAATTTGCACTTAGAAAAATATTGGATCCTTAAAACTCAGAGAAAGTGTACGTTTGGCACTGTGTGTTTGAACAAGGAGTGGGAAAAGTGCTCTTGATAAATGGGCACACTTGGAGTCCACACATTGTGTACCGCTTTGTTTGCATCCATGTTGGCCAAAAGGCAGGATGTCCATTTTAAAAATGAGAAAAGAGGCTAAGAGCCAAGATTTGGGAGTAACACTGAAATGTGCACTGTAGTCTTAAATTCTCTGAAGGAAGATACAGATAATCCTTGACTTACGACCACAATTGAGCCCAACATTTCGCCAAGTACATTTTGCCCCATTTTACAACCTTCCTTCTCAGTTTTTAAATGAGTCTTTGCGGTTGTTAAGTGAGTAACATGGTTGATAAGTGAGTTTAGTTTCCCCAATGACTTTACTTGTCAGATGGTCACAAAATGTGATCACAAGACTCACAAGACACTGAAACCATCATAAATGTAAAACAGTTGCCAAGAATCTGCATTTTGATGACATGACCATGAGGATGCTACAACAGTTGTAAGTATGAAAAAGGTCATAAGTCCCTTTATTCAGTGAGGTTCTAACTTCGAATGGTCACTAAAAGAATAGTTGTAAGTCGAGGACTACCAGTAGTAGGAATTAAAACTAAATCTGGAAAGCAAAATTGTACTAAATGATGCCGAGAAAGTCCAGGCTGCATAGACAGAGGTTTTGTTACTTTCGTGGCTTCCTAGGATTAGGCACAGGTTCAAAATGAAGAATAAGTTTTGAGCATAATTCCCTGATCTCCTAATAAAGAATCAATATTTAGCCATGGTTTAGCAATGATACAAGCCTTTTTTGGTCAAAAGATTACACTTCTATGTTTTTTTAATACCTTGCATGCCAACAGCAGATGCAGCATCTGTGACATTGGAAGTATGGGGAGTCCTTGTTTTACGACCAGAATTGAGCCCAAAATTTCTATTGCTACATGAAACATTTGTTAAGCGAATCTTGCCCCATTTTATGACTTTACTTGCCACAGTAGTTAAATGAATCATTGTGCAGCTAGTGTTAGTGACATGGTTATTAAGTGAATCTGGCTTCCCCATTGGCTTTGGTATCGGAAAGTCACAAAAAGTGATCGCATGACCCCCCAAGACACCGCAACCAGCATAAATATGAGTCAGTTGTTAAGTGTCTGAATTTTGATCACCTGACCACGGGAACACAGCAATGGTCGTAAGTGTGAAAAACGATCATAAGTCACTTTTTTCAGTGCTGTTGTAACTTTGAACTGTCACTAAATGAACTATTGTAAGTCAAGGACTATATGTACAGCACAGCCAACTTTAAACATTTGTCCCTAAGGCTATCAATGCAGGGAAGATGGTTAGCTCTTCTTTAAAATCCATCTCATTTGCATAGCTAGCAGAAGAAAAAAGGGGAGATGGCTAAGCAGTGGCCCTTCTCCACCTGAACCTTAAACCCAAAACACCACCTAACTGAAAAATCCAAATTTCTCATCACAACCACCACTTCTATATTAATTATTGGTCATAGTTGCTAAATTCATGTGCACAAATCTGTAGCTGGATGTAGATCTTGCAAAGAACTGACGGTCCTGGTCTCCTTTCTCTTAAAAAGAATATTTCAAGCCTTTACCTTCAGGCTTGTAACCCAAAACACCTTGTGCAAATTTCTCTTCCCCTAAAGAACATTTGTGATGTAAAACCAGGGAGTGGTTGCGTTGATCAATCACTCAGCAGAGTGGCAACCCACCTTTAATAAACAGAATTGTCACCCGGTGTCATGAAGGGGTGTGGCAATTTGCAAGATTCTCAGGAAGCAGCAGTGCTAAGTTATTTTCCTTTCTTCAACAGGCAGGCGCAGAAAAGCACACACCCTTCCGAAAAACACCCAACGCACTGTTTTCGTATTTGCAGTACATTGTGTACATGCACATGGGCTTTTAAAAAATATTTTTCATTATATAGAAGACAATGAAAACAAAGTCAAAAAGGAAAGGGGGGAAAAGAGGAGTATGGAGTGAGGTGGGGGGAGAAGGAAAACACCCATTGATTTCCGCAGTAGAATAAAAATGATAAAATACAGCCTCAGCTTTTACTTTTACATATTTAGCATAGACTAGCCATTTCTATAACAACAAACGTATCAAATCAAACCTTGCTTTTTAACAATTTCTTAAATAACAACAGCACTGAGAAATTATAGACCACCTCACAGTGCTTTACAGCCCTCTCTAAGCAGTTTACAAAGTCAGCATATCTCCCCCAACAATCTGGGTCCTCATTTTCCAGCCTTGGAAGGATTGAAGGCTGAGTCAACCTTCAGCCGGTGAGAATCGAGCTGCTGAACTGCTGGCAGTCAGCAGAATTAGCCTGCAATACGTATTCTAACCACTGCACCACTAAGGTTAAGTGGTGGCTAGCTGTTAGCATGCTCACAGCTTATTGATAAATGGCACCATTAAAGACACAATTGCAATGGTCTACTCCAGTGGTTCCCAAACTTGGCAACTTTAAGACTTGTGGACTTCAACTCCCAGAATTCTGCTGGCTGGAGAATTCTGGGAGTTGAAGTCCACAAGTCTTAAAGTTGCCAAGTTTGGGAACCACTGGTCTACTCAGTAGTCTTATCATGTCACATTGCCATTGTCACATTCGCGATGTTTTTCCCATTTGTGGAACTGAGGTGGGTATGGCCTGCACTTGATGCATCCGGCCAGTTTAGCACCCTGCTACACCTTTGCACCCTTCCTCACTAGGAAATAGATAATATGTGCATACAACAAGCTGACTGTTTTTATTAGCTTCTCCCTCAAAAGACAAGAGGGGTTGGCCTGATAAACTAAGAGTGGGTGAGATGGGAAACAGACCTTAGCTACGCACCTTCCAGATACCCTGATATGGATTAAAATCTTCATAGGTAATTTATGCACTGAAAGATTTTGCTGGTAAACATTTCCTTAATGGATGGACTTCATTTTGCATTAAGTCTTTGTACAATTTGTTTGTTTTGGCTGGCTGATTATGTAGACTCTACCAAATCTGGTTTCTACACCATGGTTTACAGTTTTGCATGTTGGCGCAAAACAAGCCGTGATTTTGAAATAATGTTTTATAGTTTTGCCTTGTTGATGCAAAGCCACCCAACGCTGGTTTCTAAATCAAAGTTTTCATATTGGTGTAGAACTAGACTACAATGCTGAAACAAATAAGAGCTTAGTGCGATTTGTACACTGAATCATTGGCTGCTTTTTAATCAGTGCTTTTTATTGTTGATTAAGGCACAACCTCGGCCAATTTTAAGATGTCTAGATTTCAATTCCCAAAATTCTCTAGCATGCTGCTGCATTCTGAGAGTTGAAGTCCACACATGCTGCCTGAAGGAATCTGGGAGTTGAAATCCATACAGGCTGACTGAAAAATTCTGGGAATTGAAGTCCCACATTTTAAACTTGCCGGGGTTGAGAAACATATGTTTAATGTGTGGCATTTCCAAAATGGGGGAATCTTTAAATGTGTTGGACTCCAGCAATTGCTTAAAGATAAAGGTTCCCCTCGCACATATGTGTTAGTCATTCCTGACTCTAGGGGGCAGTGCTCATCTCCATTTCAAAGCCAAAGAGCCAGCGCTCTCCGAAGATGTCTCATTGGTCATGTGGCCGGCATGGCTAAACCTTGAAGGTGCATGGAACTCTGTTACCTTCCCACCAAAGGTGGTTCCTATTTTTCTACTTGCATTTTTACATCCTTTTGAACTGCTAGGTTGGCAGAAGCTGGGACAAGTAACGGGAGCTCACTCCATTGCACAGCACTAGGGATTCAAACAGCCGAACTGCTGAACTTTCTGATCAACAAGCTCAGCGTCTTAGCCACTGAGCCATCTCTTCCCTTTTTCATGGGAATTGCACGCTAACAAACCCAGAGGGTTGAAGTCACAAAAGGGTGATCTAATGGATTCCCGCAGTGAGGAATTATCTATTAGTAGAGTACTATTATTTTACTCTGGGGACAAACTAGAGTAATTTTTTTTTTACTTCAAGTAATTATTTCAAGTAATTTGTTTTCCTACGTTTGGGCTAGGCCCCTCATTGGCAGTACAGTTAAATGAACTGTTATGTTAAGTAATGGGGGAGGGGTGTTTCATCATGTTTTTGAGAACGACAGACAACCTATTAGCTGGCTAAATTCAGAATTGCTAAAGTGCAATTCTGCAGTCAAATGCATCAACCTGAAACCACACAAATTAAGTTATGGATTGTTGTATGAACTGAGACTGCATTTGATCAAAGCTGGTCAAAACCAAAATCAGAATTTCAATCATTGTGTAATGTTGAGCCAGGTACAATTTCTCAACCTAACTTGACCATTCAGGACTGTCAGGAAAGCCATGTAAGGCCCCCTCAGTCTTTTGGGCCATAAAGTAGCAGGTAGAAATGTAACCGAAGACATGTAACTAACCCATAAATCAATACAACTGGTCAGTTAATGAAGAAATTAAAGAATGTGGAAATGAACACTATATCTTTCAGGCATTGGCATTTCCTATTTTCCCCAGACTGGGCACCTGAAACCAGAATTTTCGAGGGGGAAAAGTCTCTTCGATTTAAATTTATGTAGCACATTGGTCCTAAGATGTGAGGGATTGATTTATGTTTTATTTATATTTATTGATATCCAGCCTTTATTATTTTTACAAATAATTCAAGGAGGTGAGCATATCTAACACACCTTCCGGCTCCTATTTTCCCCACATCAACAACCCTGTGATGTGACTTGGGCTTAGAGAGAGGGACTGCCCCAAAGTCACCATTCACTTTCATGGCTAAGGTAGAACTTGGAAGTCATAGTCTCCTGCTTTCTTACCTGATGCCTTAACCATTAGATCAAGCTATAATGCAAAGTGCTTCATCAAATCTTGCAGTTGGCAGATTGAATTTTCCAGGAATATTATTTAGGCAACTTCAGTTGAGATGAAATGGACTGGGAAGATAAAGATTGGGGACATAGCATTGGACATAAAATGATCCCCCCAAATAGAATTTCTATTTGGAACTTTTGGCACTGCAGTTTGAGTTGGGTTTTATCTTGAATTTTGACTCCATAATGTTCTTGCAGTGGGAAGTCAGGTCTTGGCTGCTGTTCTTGGAGCTGTGGGACAAAACCCACCTGTTCTTGGACAAATTGCTGATTTTTTCTTCTCTTCCTCTGTAAAGGTTGTGGTGTGAATTTCAGAGAAAATTGCTGACATCATGAGCGATTCCGGAAGGTAAGCATGTGAAAAAAATATTCTATTTTTAATACCTGCCTGACTAAAGAGATAAATAACAAAATTTCTGGGATCAACTCTTCCCAAATGATAGACCAAGCATTGTCCAAGGCATTGTGTGAGAAGAGTACCTCTATGATGGAATCTGATTCTGTATCTGATTCCTTTTGGTTGCTTCTGCTGGTGAGATCCACTCAATGAAAACTAGCTTTGGTTTTCAGTATCACAAAAAACTCAGTACATACCTTATTCATCAGAAGTGTGATAAAACCCTTTTGTAAATATTTTGTAAATATTTAAGATCTGGGGAGATGGATTCCTAAATGCAATCTGGAAAACTATTGCACATCAGGATAGATACAAGGGATTTGTTTATAGCAGGGATCTCTAACCTTGGCAACTTTAAGACTTTTGGACTTCAACTTCCATAACTCCTCAATCCATATGGCTGAGGAATTCTGAGAGTTGCACTCCACAAGTCATAAAGTTGCCAAGTTTGGAGATCCCTGCTATAGTCAGATACAATAGCTATCAGTATCTTGGTGATCCACTCATCCAGGTAGAGTAGTCTGGAAGTTGACTTATGGCAACTAGACTTTGTTGTTGTTATTTGAAACATTTTGCTGCTTATCTAGATAGCTTAAGAAAAAGACTGAAGAAACTATTTGAACAAGCAGAGAAATGTTTTAAACAGAAAAAAGAAAAGAAGTCCAGTTGTCATGAGCCAACCTCTAGTCTAGAGTCTAGACAATAGCTGTCAGCCTTCCCAGGTAGTCTACACAGAAGATATGTCCAGGTGAACTAATTCTACTTTATTCTAAGGCTACCTCAGCAGAATCTTGCAAGTCTGAAAGTACAAATTTCTCACCATTAAAAAAAAAACACATTTAAGTTAAGGAGATTTTTCCCACCCGACCTGTTATGCAGCCAAGGGTTATGCCATCCCTTATGTGAGTATTCCCTAGGCAGCATCTCTCCCCTCCTTTTATTTATGTAGTTTTTCAGGTGGCAACTGCTGTTTTTAGAAAGTTTTGAAAGGCATGATTCAGCCAGGATCTGATGAAATTGAGGAACATGGCTCATAGTTTATATTGTTTTCTTCTTCAACTTGCTGATCTCTAGGTGTTTTGGGTTATAATAAATCTCATCATCCCTAGCTAGGGGACGTGCATGGGGTTTATAGGAAGTGTAGCACTGTATACCAACTCTGCAGAGCTCCAGGTTGGGAAAGATTTATTAAGATCTTCTCCAGTCCACCCTTTCCTCCAGAACCTGAGCAGGTCTTCTCAGGTGCTCACCTCTCTAAGGAGATACAAAGATGTAAAAGACCTCTGAAGAACCCAAAATAACTTTCCTTGTTAGAAATCTAAGCAACTCTGGCCACCCTCATTTCTACTGAGATGTTAGCAAGATTGAAAACAATCCCTGTAATCTTCATTAGCATCTTCATTGCTCCTCGGTTAGTCACCACCATTTCCTTTCCATCTTGCCTTGAGGCACAGCTATTGTCATTATCATCATTAATGCCTAAGGAATGGCCACTAACTCAGATCAGAGTATGCCAAGAATCCGTATTGTATTCTGTTCTCATTCTGGTAGCCTTTGGCAAGGGCATAACCACGGTAATATTATTCCTTCTTCCTTTCTGCCTTTTCAAATGAGTTTGTGTCATTGGGACTATTATTCAAATGCAAGTCTGAAATTAAGGTTTAAGGGCTACTGGTTGTGGTAAAAACCATCCAGATGAAAGGGTGTAACCTTGCTTGGGAGCTCAATGAGGATTAAACAACAAGTTATTGTATTAATGTCTTTTAAATTGTTTAAATTGTTTTAGAATTTAAGGATTGTAAACTGCCTAGAGTCACTTGCTTGAGATGGGTGGCTATAGAAATTGAATGAGTAAGTAAGTGAGTAAGTGAGTAAGTAAGTAAGTAAGTAAGTAAGTAAGTAAGATCAAGTAGCATAATTATAACTGAATTTTTTTGGACTAAATTGTAGGTTTTGTTGAAATAGCGATAGTAAGAACACATGGTAATATAACAGTATATTACTAAGTATATTGCTGAAGTGTTATATTACTGAAGTATATTACTTTATAGTTCTTTACAATCCTCTCTAAGCAGTTTAGAGAGCCAGCATATTGCTTCCAATAATCTCAGTCCTCATTTTACCAACTTTGGAAAGATGAAAGGCTGAGACAACCTTAAGCCGTCAGGATTGAACTGCTGGCTATAGGCAGAATTAGCCTGCAATACTGCATTCTAACCACTGCACCACCAGGGCTTCTGCAAAGGATATTGCAAAGAACAGGGCTAATAAGACTTGGGGATTCTCAGGGAGCCTGGAAGCTTAGCAAAATTTGAGAAGGCAGGGCATTTGGGCTGGAGAAGCTAAGATTGTCATCTGATTTGTCTGTTTTGCTTCCCAGTTTATTTGGTGATGTTCACAAGCCTAGTGCCAGAGCCATCTATGGTGAGTTTGGGACCATGGGAATATAATCAAGGGAACACTTTTGTATTGGGATGATTGTTGGACTGAAAGTTATTTCATCTTGCAGCTCTACCATCCTTAGCAACTAACAATTCTCTAGTCTCATTAACCACAGTGCCCATCTCCTGCTACAATCCTTTATGCCTGCAATCTCCACTCTAGCTCCAAATACCTTATCTAACATAGACCAGTAGCTATCAATTCTGAGCTGCAGAAATCCAGATGACGGCTGGATGGTATTAGCAAAGATTTCTGCAGCCAAAACTGAATTGGTCTAATCTAACATTCCTTTCTCCCTTTATGGATTTCAAGTTTCTGGTTTAATTTATTATTATTATTATATAGACAACAATGTGAAATCACAACTGCAAGTGTTTTAACTAGTGTGGGCCTTCATATACATCAAGATCTTCCCAAGGACCTAGGATATCATAATATATATGGGGATCTAGGCAATGTGGCCTTTTGTAATTGTCAGATGGAGATGTTGTCAATGCACAGATTTCTTAAGTGCCATCCAAGATTTTTTGTTATGGCACCCATAACCAGTGGGTTATGGCACCAGTTTACCACATAATGTTTCACTATGATTTTGATACTTTATGAAATTCTCCAATCATCATCATCATCATTCCCCAGTAAGACACTAACCAGTTGTGATGTGGTTGTGGGGCTTGTGTGCTTTGAGGAAGATGAGAGCTATGGCAGAGGTTCAACCATACTGGATAGGTCTCATTAGATGAGCCAGACAAAGAGTGTCTCCCTCATTAAAAAAATATGGTGAAAGTAAATTTCAAAAAGCCAAACAGCCTCGGATGTCACATGGCTTAACAAGGTCCATACTAGATGTTGGAGTTCCTGGATATATGGTGAAAATTGGGCTACAGAACTCAGGATTGTTGGGTGAGCAACCAAGGCCAACAGCTGCAGAACTACTAGAAGAAAAGTTGTTTACAAATATACAGAGATTGAAAACAAAGAAATAATGATCTGCTATTACTGATCCAAGTCAAACAAGAAGAGGATATTTGAAACGAATGCACCAGTTCTAGAAAGAATAACATCCAGAGTCAGAAATAACCGAACAGAGTAGCAATGGTGGTGGTGGTGGAACCATAAAATAAAGTAAGTTATGGAAAATGAAGAAGCTAAATTGCTCTGAGACTTTAGAATTCAAACAGACCTTTAGAATTCAAACAGATGCCACATACCATACCAGACTTAACAATAGTTGATAAAACGATCTACACAGTGGACATGGCAGTACCTGATATCAGCAGAAGAGAAGAGAAAGAACTGGAGAAGATAATAAAATATAAAGATCTGCCAATAGAAGCAGAACAACTGTGGCAAAAGAAAGCAAAGGTAGCACCAATAGGTGTGATCCCAGAACAATTGAAGCATCACTTAAACACCATTGGCATTGGCAATTCACCATTAGTCAATTGCAAAGGGCAGCTTTGGAGCAACTTACATCCTGTGTTGATACTTCCAATACCATCAGACATCCGCATTGGCCTATCCCAGATCCTTGCAGACAAAAACGACAAATCCAGGCTGAACTTCTGACATGTTTGGTTGCAACTAGACACAATCCTGTGATTATTTAATATTATTAAAAACAACATCTATCAAAAACCTAGGTCATTGGGAAGGGCTTGATAGGTGGATTAAAATGCCAAAATCCACTCTAAACATTTGGCTGACTGTACAACCAGCCATCATAAAAATATTATTACATGCTCCAGTAACTTCTTTTATTTATGCTTAGACTGATTCCTCCTGTCTTTCCTTTGCTCTGTTAAAACAGTCTGATTCATTAAGAAAACCTTGGTACTGTAATTGTTTGAAAAGTGCTATTAAATGCAAATCAGGTTCTCAGACTGTAGAGTATTTAATATTACTACTTTTTTCAGTGCTAATCTGCATATTATGAAATTCAAGGAATTTTCTTTCAACTGAAGCCATTTTTTTAACCATGCATATTACATTAACCAGTATTACATATTATTATAACATTGCATTAATTTCGGATTTTATAGCACTTCCAATCCTAGTTGAAGGAGGTGTTAAATAAATTTTATAAATAAACAAAATACTTGTCTTTGAGGGATAATTCTGTGGATGAAGTTACAGATACTCCTTCACTTACGACAGGTCACTTAACAATCATTCGAAGTTATGACCGACCTCCCCAAGGGAATTATGACTTAATTCCAAAGTTTCGACAGCTGCAACTGGTATTTGCTTGCAAATTTTGGCAAAACCAGCCCCTAGCAAACCATTGGCATAGCAAACCATTGGTTTGTTTAATGACTGTGGTGTTGTCTTAACAACCTCCATATAATAGGTGGTAAAATCAAATCGGACCATTTTAATGACCTCTTTTACAGCTGGTATGATTTACCACTGTGATGGGCAGTCTCCATTACCATTTAAACTTGAGGACTACTTGTATAATATCCTTGAATGTTAATACTGCTGAATAGGAATGAATATGTCTGTTATATATTAACCAAACTTTCCGAATCTGTGGGCAGATCTGAACTTTTATGAGCAAAGCACCTGGAATTCTCATGAAGTTATAGACCCTCATTTACTAGTTGGCAAGTTGATGAGGCTGTTTGTGACCCATCTCGACTAGTTTCCATGATCACAATCGCTTTCTCAATTTATTGTAATGTCTTTGGTGGTGGTGGAGCCATTTCTGTACAAAGGACTAAGCCATATAAACCGCAATATTTTTTTAAATAATATCTGTGGGACCTACGTGAGGCCCATTTGTTCATTTTTAATTAAAAGAATCCAAAACATAACATAAGTGAAATAGTGTGCAGGACAGTTCACGATTTACATCAGTTCACTTAATGACCTTTTGAGGTTACAATGGCATTGAAAAAAGTGAGTTATGACCATTTTTCACACTTATGACCGTTGTAGCAACCCCATGGTCATGTAATTTACCTTTGGATGCTTGATATCTGTCTCACATTTATGACGGTTGCAGTGTCCGGGGGGGGGGTGTCACGTGATCATCTTTTACGACCTTCTGACAAGCAAAGTCAATGGGGAATCCAGATTCACTTAACAACCTTGTTACTAACTAAACTGCAGGGATTCACTTAACAAATATGGCAAGAAACGTCTTAAAATGGGGCAAAACTCACTTAACAAATTTCTCAATTAGGCAATGTAAATTTTGGGCTGAATTGTGGTTGTAAGGTGAGGACTACTTGCACTGTAAGTGTCTACAAACATGATTTTATGCTGCAATATGCATTATGTATTGGTTTTGATGTCTTCTATATATGTTAGGCTATAATTTCCACCAAGCCCAGCAATTGCGGTTACAACTGGGAAACGCTAAATCAGCTGAAGCTGCCTGTGGCTCACAAACCCGTGGTTTTTGGAAGATGCTATAGTCACGTGGTCTGCACATAACTCTAAACTATAATCAGTGGACATATGCTGAGCCAAATAGAAAAAAAGCCACATTATAGCTTCGGGGTCTATGATAACAAGCCATTGTTTCTGTTCATGCATATTTCTATTCTGCTTGTCAAACAACGTAACCAATTAATTCCCCCCACCCCTCTTGAAGATTAAGGGGAAATATTTTTTGGGAAGACACAGTTCCATTGTTCTGTCTATTCCATCTTTTCAAAAGAACCCTGCTTGGAGTAAAAGAGTGGAAGTGGGCCACCCATCCACTCACTCAGCCTTCTTCTGCTGTTCGACTGTCAGCACTACCTTCCTTATCCAAATAGAAAGAATTTACTCTGTAATCTTAAGTGCTTTTTAAACATGTTCAAATCCCCATTAAAATGAGACAGAAATGAAACTAACATTTTAATATTCCTTTTGTGTCTCAAGCCAGCATTTCAGTTGCGTCCTTCCTGTATGAGGAATAATTTTGTTTTTAAAAAATTTCTTTCTGCAGAACAGAGGAAGAAGTATTCTAACTTCATTGTGGCAGATGTCTCTCAGTATGCTGTCAATGTAGGTATTTTTTTTGTTTGTTATTTTGACATTTAGGTTGTGTTGAAGTATGGCCAAAACAGAATTGGGATTGAGAAGTTTCAGGAATTGAAGTATGGGAAGTCATCTGAAGAGGACTGTTTCTTGGTTAACAGATCTGCTAGAATTGCTCCAGAATAATTTTATGTGTATTGAGATATCCGGGCAATATCCAGTGAGAAATTAATCAGAGCTAGTTTATTATTTCCCCTTTAATTGCTACTATTTTTTTAAAAAATCCTTTAAAATTGCTCATTTTATATTCCACCTATTTATCTCCCTCATTAAAAAAAATCATTTTCCTCTGAAGGAATATGAATAAAAAATAATGTAAGATTTTAACCCTACTAATTTACTACAGATCCATAAGAATCAGGTAATTTTTTTTCTTTTAAAAGATGGGAACCATATTACATGAAACAGAGGAATCCCAAGGATAAAATGAGCTCCGAGCAGCAGTGGGTGGTCCCAGCCTTTTGGGCACCAGGGACTGGTTCAACTGGGAGAGGTTTTGCCAGGGATCAGGGTGTGTGTAGTTTCGACTTCTGTCTGCATCCCACGGATGTGGCTTTGCTTGTTTGCATGGGCCAGTTTCTGGCATGTCGTGGACTGGCCGAGGATTAGAAACCCCTACCATACATAATACGGTAATTTGCATCGCAGCATTCTGATCAACTATAGCTTCCAAGCAGTCTTCAAGGGCAGTCCCCTGTACGATGCGTTGTATTCATCTAAACAAGAGATGACTAAAGCATGAGTGACTGTAAGGAAGGTCTTCTGGTCAAGTTGAATTCGTGTAAACTCTCCTGGCTACTATGACTTTCTGTAATTCGAGGATGACCCACAAATTATACCTGAGTTCTGCTTAAGGAGATGCAACCTTATCAATGACTTAAGTTATTGAAAGATCCTTGGAACTGAAATAACCTTGAATCCACAATCTGACAACCTTTGCTAGGGTAGAACCTGACCTATTCCCACCATCCAGACTCTAACAGCCTCTGTGCACCGGGACAAGATCTTCTTGGTGCCACCGTTCATTTAAGAGTTGAGATATCCAATCGGAACAGGGGTGGATTCTAGCCGGTGTTACTGCCGGTTTGCTTGTGGGCGCGGTTTGCGCACAGGCTGGATACATACTGCACGTGCATGCGCAGTTCAATAGAAATTTTTCTGCGCATGCATAGAACTCAAAAACAAGATGGCAACTGCAGCGATCAGGGAACTGGTTCAGAGGCGTGGCCAGCCTGGGTCGCTGCCAGTTCGCAACCCAGGTTGTCATGTTACTACCGGTTTGGTCAAACCGGACCAAACCAGTAGGAACCCATCACTGAACTGGAAATCATCCACATGTTGATGAGACCCAACCCCACATCTTGACCAACAACCTCTCGTAGATGTTGAATACAAGTAGCAAGAGAATCAAGTTTTGAGGAACCCTGAGAAGTAAAGATCTCAGCCTCAGTCCCCCCGATAGTGCCTGGAACCCACTCTGAAGAAAGGAGAACTAATGTAGTACAATATCCAGCAACCCCTAAGATCACTGAGAGATCAAGTGGGACCAGCAAATTAATACCATCCCAATCCCGGTCCCATCAAAGTTCACTTACAAATATGATCATTGTCATGTCAATGGATATCTCTTCTGAAACCAATGAAAATGATCCAAATAATTCACTTACTCCAGACAGCCCTCTAGAATTGCAGCTCGCCAACTTTTATACAATTTCCCCCAGAAAAAAAAGAGATTATTAAATGCTGCTGAGTCCAAGGATGAGGAGGGGATGTACCATTGCCTCCTTCAAGGTACCGTATTTTTCAGACTATACGATGTACCGGTGTATAAGATGCACCAAGATTTCGAAGAGGTAAGTAAGAAAAAAAAAGGTTTTGTCTGTCTCGGCTCCCAGAAGCACTCTGCAGGCTTCAGCAAGATGGGTGAGGCAAAAATGCCCCCGTTTTTGCAAAAAAATGGGCAAAAAATGGCAAAAACGGGCATTTTTGCCTTCCCCAGCCTCGCTGAACCCTACAGAGTGCTGCTAAGGACTGGGGGAAGACAAAAACGCCTCTGTTTTTGTGAAAAACAGCCCATTTTTTTGCAAAAACAGGGGCATTTTTTCCTTCCTCTAGCCCTGCTGAAGCCTGCAGAGTACTGCTGGGGGCTGGAGGAAGGCAAAAACACCTCCGTTTTTGTGAAAAACTGCCCATTTTTCACAAAAATGGGATGCGGGCGTGGGACTTCGGGAGGGCAAAAAAAAATGACTGTATTTGGTGTATAAGACGTTCCAACATTTCCACGCTCTTTTAGGGGCGGGTTAAAGGTGCATCTTATATTCTGAAAAATATGGCATGTGCCCCCCCCCTCAAAGATGAGTTTACTATTTTTTGGACTCAGACATTACTTACTCCTCTGCTATATTGAAACTAGATTAATCTTTTAAGTAAAATAATTTGCCACCCCCAATTAAAAAAACTTGATCCTGAAAACGTGATACTTCCTTCCCTTTATGTCAATATAAAATCTCTGCCAAAGGTTAAACTGATGAACAAACACAATAAAACACAATAGACCATAACACGTTGTGGGAGGAAAGGAAAAGAAAAATAAAAGGAAGAAGAAAGCGAGAATTTAATAATAGACCTGAACAAACTTTTCCCAGGTCTAAAATAAAATATAGTTGGGGTCCAATATGCAGGAACACATTATAAGCCAGATTAATGATCATCTACTAACTTCTACTAAGGCTGTTCATGCTTCTATCTTCAACGTGTAGTTTGGAGAATATGGTATCATGAAATCATATCAGTCTCCAGTACTATAAACTGGCTAGTTTTTCAGAATAAAAAGGTTGCATTAAGGTGTTCCAAATAGCTGCTATCTTTGCACTATTACTTACATCCTGGTCATGGTAAGATATTGAGGTTTCCTGTACCATTTGGAAACTGATGAAATAGATGAATAATAACACTGATGGCATATAATGGATCTGCTTGTATCTCTCTCATGTATATATACTCTAGCACCTGGTGACCTTCTCCATTGGGGAAGAGGACGATTTGACATCTGTGGAGGATGCTATCAGAAAACTATGCATCATGGATAAGCAAGGGAAGATCTGGGTTCAAGAGATGTTGCTCCAGGTCAACGGATCGGCTATCAAGCTCCTTGACATAAACTCAAAGGTGCAGAAAGTTACTCAGAGCAGCAATGCTGGGTGAATAATGAAGATTTGGGGGAGAAATGGCTGTTACCTGTATCCCAATTCCTCTTCTTTGGAAAGAGTCCATATTAGATGGATGTCCTTCAGGGGTGGGTTCCTGCCAGTTCTAACCTCTTCTATAGAAGAGGTTCCACAAATCTACAGTGCCGTTTAGAACCGGTTCCAGCTCCCTTCCCCGCCCATCCACACTACGCTTGCCCTGCCCGCCGCTCACTGATTGGCTGGCTCACCAATCGCCCCACCCACCTCTAAGAGTCCTATATAAACCTTAAAGTCTTAAAGCTGTCAAGTTTGAACACCCCTGGGGTTTTTTTTCTAAAGGGTTAGGGGTGCCAGGGTCTTGTAACTTGACAGCTTTAAGACTTGCACACTTCAGTGCCAGAGTTCCTGAGCCAACATGACTAGAGGAGGAATTCTGGGAGTTGAAGCCCACAAGTCTTAAAGCTGTCAAGTTTGAACACCCCTGGGGTATTTTTTCTACAGGGTTAGGGGTGCAAGGGTCTTGTACCTTGACAATTTTAAGACATGAATGCTTCAAATGCCAGAGTTTCTGAGCCAACATTTTGGTTGCTAAGTAAGAACGTTGTTAAGTGAGTTTCACCACATTTTACAAGTTGGCCACACCTACCCAGTCACATGGCTGGCAAACCACTCCCACTCGGTCACATGGCTGGCAAGCCACTCCCACCCGGTTACATGGCTGGTAAGCCAGTCCCACAAAGCAGGCTATCTAAAAAAATTTGAAACCTACCACTGATGTCCTTGATTGACTTTCTTTTCTCCAATAGGAGGAACTGGAGAACTTTGCATTGCCAACAGTGGCTTATTGTGATGTTGTCTGCCCTGAGTCCCGTGCCCGATCCTTGCTTGTACTCATGTGCCAGGAAACAACTCAGCTCAGACCGGATATTCACTTCTTTGACTGTGAACAAATTAGGGTAAAAGAATTGAGCCTATTGATCCACAAAGAATGTGTAGAGAATGATCCTATGTAATTACTCGATTCTACTAACTGCAGAAAATGTGCTTGACACGGAGATGGCAACTATTCAGTGGTTGAGGGCTGCAATTAACATTTTAAAGGAAAGACAACATTCACAGACAGTGGGGACATGCCATGCACAGGGGAGATACTGGGATTCTTCCCACTCCTTTTAAAATTATGTTAAAGAGAAAATTCTACTTCTGATGTCCCAAAGATGCTTTTTCAAGATGCTGAAGAAGCTTCTTGAATGAGAACATCTTCAAGGAAGAACAGAGAAAGTCCAATTGCCTCTTGAAAAAGCACCTTTGGGACAACCATGACCTGGATGACTGAGAATCTCCATAGACATTTAGCTACATATTTCTAATGCTTGACCGCTGTGTTTTTAAGGGTTTGAGGGTTATAATATGGTGCCCATAGGCAGTTCAGAATCCTGAGCTTGCCTAGTCCTGAGCTACACCATGGGGATTTGGGACAAGGGAAGAGTTCTCAACACATCTTTGATCTGGTTTTTTCCTCTACTTGGCAGGCGGAATGGATCCAGCAAGACATCAGCAGTGCCCTGTTGGATTTCAACACAGGAGGAGATATCCAGCGGAGGGAAGCGTTGAGGTAAATGCACAGCCTAAGAAAACCCATGGCTGGGATGGGACAGCTTCAAAGGGCCATGTCACATTAGTCATAAATAAGAAGTCAAGACTGTGATTTATCAAAGACGGGTGAGGATCTATGGTCTCTTGATAACCTGTGGACTTCAAAGCCCAGAATTCCTGAGCCAGCATGGCTGCAATGACTGCATGGCTGGCTCAGGAATTCTGGGAGTTGAAGTCCACAGGTCATCAAGGGGCCATAGTTCCTCACCCCTGATCTAAGACATTGCTGCAAGAAAAGTTGATTCCCAGCAGAGCTCTACGGTGGGTGAAGGCCTATAACCTCTTCCTTACCAGCTGCTTATCCAGTGTAGATTTCTCTCTGCAATTGCATCACCTATACAAGTTCATCCCACCCCCAACCATCCCCTTCAAAAAACTTGGACTCAGAGAGAAAGTAGGATTGTCTAGCTATAGGTAGTTCTCCACTTACGATCACAATTGGAACCAGAACTTCCATTGCTCAGCAAGACAGGTGTTCAGTGAGCCATGCCACAGTTGTTAAGCAAATCACTGCAGTCGTTAAGCGAATCATTCAGTCCTTAAGCGAATCTGGCTTTTCCCATTGACTTTGCTTGTGAAGGTCACAAGTGGTGAGTCTTTATGACACCACAATTGTCATAAACACACGCTTGTTGCAACCACCTGATTTTTGACCTTGCAGATGTGGCAATGGTTGTAAATGAGACTTGACTTACTTGACTTAAGTCTTTAGCGTCGGTACGGCATCGCCAATCCCTTCGCTGTAGAGTCGCATGCATCCCGAATCAACGGGATCCATGATTCTAGGCTGAGTACTACTTGAGCTCGCCGGGCCCAAGAGTCGACAGAGCCCCTTATGTTGGAAAACGGTGGGCACCTCGAGAAGGCAGGGGTTGTCTTGATAATGAGAGGACCGGTAATAAGTCACTTTTTAAAATGCCATTGATACTTTAAAATCCACCAGTGTGCGATGGCAGCCAAAAAAGCCAACACAATCCTAAATTGCATTAACAGAGGGATACAATCAAAATCAAGTGAGGTACTAAAACCACTCTGTAAAGCCTTAGTAAGACCACACCTAGAATCATGCATCCAGTTTTTGGTCAACACACTATAAGAAAGATGTTGAGACTCTAGAAAAAGTCCAGAGAAGAACAACCAAGGTGATTAGGGGACTGGAGGCTAAAACATATGAAGAACAGTTGCAGGAACTGGGCATGGCTTGTCTAGTGAAGAGAAGGACCCAGTGGAGACATGATAGCAGTGTTCCAATATTTGAGGGGCTGCCATAGAGAGGAAGAGGGTGAAGATATTTTCTAAGGCACCTGAAGGCCAGACAAGGAATAATGGATGGAAACTGATCAAGGAGAGATTCAACCTAGAAATACCGTAAGGAGAAATTTTCTGACAATGAGAGCAATCAACCAATGGAACAGCTTGCCTTCAGAAGTTGTGGATGCTTCATCCCAGAAAGCTTTGAAGAAGAGACTGAACCGTCATTTGTCAGAAATGGTGTAGTGTCTCCTGTGTGGGCGGTGGGTTGGACTAGAAGACCTACAAGGTTCCTTCCAACTTTGTTAATTTGTTGTGACCAATGGGTCATAGGTTGTCTAGATACCTGTTATAGATTCTTATGTTGTTGAACAGCGTGGAATGTTATATAATTCAGAAGCCAATGTGTGCCCCTGGGGTTGAATATAACTCCAGAATTGCTTTTGAGCATTTCCTCCCCCCAAATAATGTATTCGTTTCCCATTGTTTTGACCAGGAAGAGCTTGAATCGCACATACATTGCAATGCATACAATAGAAAGATCCCCACCTTCAAGCTCTAGAGCAAGTGTCTCCGAACTTGGCAACTTTAAGGCAGGCGGACTTCAACTCCCAGAATCCTCTAGCCAGCATGCTTTAAGATGTGTGGATTTCAAGCCCCAGAATTCTCCAGCCAGCATAGTTTTAAGACTTGTGGGCTTCAATTTTAAGACACAGCTTTAAGACCTGTGAACTTCAACTCCCAGAATTCCCCAGCCAGCTTTGATATGGGATTCAACTATGGCAGCTGAAGCCCACAAATCTTATAGTTGCCAACTTTGGAAACCCAACTTCGGAGCAAAAAAGATCCCATTCCTATTTACATAGTCTTAGAAAGTGTTGCAATATTGTCCCACTCACTATGTCCCTGAGGTCCCTTCAACGATTGATCCTCAGCCTACAAAATTTTGCCCATCCCCAGCCTGGAAGTTATACAGGTCAAGTGTAAGATGGAAAGGAGGTTGCATTATCTAGTGAAAATCAGTCTTTCTCTTCAGATCTCAGACTCTATGTTTCTTGTTTACAGAGCTGCCCAAAACATGCTTGATAATCAGGAGGTCTTCTCTCAGCCTCCTATGCAGGTTCCTTCTAGGACAAAGATTGTTGCACCAGGGCCAAGAGAAGATGGTAAGGACCTTAGGCTAAGCCCCACAAGTTTTTATGGAGGAGGACATTTTGAGAAGAATCGTAACTTCTTGGTAAAATATATGTTATCCATCCATGTGGTCTTTAAGGCCATTTTCTAGCATGTCCAGTTAAATGGCTTTTGCCCCAAAAGACTATTGCAGCTTAGAAGAGATTATAGGCTGCATCCACCAAGGTTCTAGCATAGCATTAAGGAGTTTCCTAGCTTCATATACCCCTGTTTCCCCAAAAATAAGACATGGTCTTATTTTCTTCGGACCCTCCCCCCAAAAATAAGCACATGACCTTATTTTTAGGGAGGTCTTATTATTTTTGAGGTTCAGAAGGTGTGGTCACCTCATGGCTGCTGCTGTGTTGCAATATTTTTTGGGGAGAGCTTATTTTAGCGCATGCACTCAAAAGCCCAGTTGGGCTTATTATCCGGGGAGGTCTTATTTTGGGGGAAAACAGGGTATATTAATTGTCTTTAATGGGATCTTCTTCTAGAACAGCTAGCAAGAAGTCATGTTGCACCCCTATATATTTTACTTTCCGTTTGAGTTGCAGGGAACAATCCAGGAATCTTTCCCATCAAGAGATTCCAGCCACAAATAGGCCTGTCTAAATCTTTGTCTGGTTCCTTCACAATTTGTGTGTTTGTTTCCCCCCACCCTTTTCTTTGGGTAAAATAAGCATGGTATTAAAGATCCCTTCCAAAAGCTGAAACCATTGGCCTCATTCTTAAGGTTGATGCCATGGCATTGCTGTGCACCCTACTCATCAGAGACCAAAGGGCAGGAAAGTGAGGTTCCTCATACTGCTCATATGGTTGTGGGAGTCACAGAAGAAGACACAGCTGCATAGTCTTTTCCTGCCACTGGGCTCTTCAAGACAGATTAATCCTCTTTGTGTCCCAGCAAAATGTAGCCCTAGTGTCTTAAACTCTTCATTTTTTTTCTCCCTGTTTCCAGCCATCTTGATAGGGGAACCTGATCTGTCCAACATCCCAATAGAGCAAAATGTGGTGAGTTAAATGGGAAGATTAATTGTTGTTGTTGGCTTTTATATAAATGAGATTTGGAGAAGGGGGTGGGGAAGAGATATGGTCATTCACTTAATGACCATGGCATTTGCTTAATGACCACAAATTCACTTAATGTCCCCTGAAAGAAAGATTGTAAAATTGGGCCAGTCGTGTGATTGACCTGCTTTATTACTGTTATGAGTATGACAGTGATGGGCAGGCTCCATTATAGTCATAACTCAAGGACTCCCTGTAGCAGGTTTAAAAAGTGTGACAATGAAACTAGCAATTACAGTACAACAACCAACAAGTATCCCTACTCAAGAAGCATCCAAATTCACTTTATTTTCCAAAGGCCTTTCAGGTGAGCCATGCTCTCACATCACTTGTTCCTTGCTGAGTACAAACAACTTTTCTTTCATTCTCTTTATTGCCTGTGTCCCTCTGGCAGGAACTGCTGAACCGGATTTTTGATGATGTGGAAGCCTTCGTGAGAAAGCTGCAGAAATGTGCAGAAGCTTTCCGTGACCTGAACCAATACAGGAGCTCTGCAAGAGGGCGCCTTCGAACACCAAGAGGTGAGACGATTGGCTGGGAATGCAGAAGGCAGCTAGAGAAACAGGAAATGCTTCTAAAGTCTGTCCCAATCAGAATCTTTCTGTGAGTTCTAACTCCGCCTCCAGAATGATTCTAGAATTTGTTTCTCCCATCAGTTAGAGATGTACACCTGATGAGAAAAGGACCTTCTCAGTGGTGACCCCTTCCTTATGGAACATCTTTCCCCTGGGGTATGATGGGGCCCCCTACCCTCTTGTTAAATGGTGTTAAAATTGTGGTTTTGTTACCTGGGTTTGGGGGCCACGAAAAGAGATAGGGCAATCAAGTTGCTGATTTGATTGTGTTATTGCTGCCGTGTGTGTGTATATGTGTGTGTGTGTGTGAGAGAGAGGGGGGGAGACAGGGAGGGAGGGAAAGAGATATATATATATTTTAAAATGGATTTTTATTATACAGTGTAAAATGTTGGATGGTGATATAAATTTCTTTAATAAATCAATGAAAACAAATACATTTGTCCGAATCCACAAAATTTTGCTATGGCTTGGAAACTTTCCCCTTCCATCATGGGCCTCTGCAATGGATCTCCTGACAACTTCAGAAATGCCTCCTGTAGTTGCATTATCCTCTGTTTTTACGCAAGTCAAAAAGTTTTTATTCTCTGTTTTTGCACAAGCTTCTTTGCCCAAAAGGTTTTTAGAGCCACTATTTCTTAAAGACAAATCCAAGGCCTACAAACATAATTGGACTACTATAATGGGCAGCTATTCCTGCATCTATAGGGTTGAGCTGCCCTGGGTAGTAGGAGATATCTGGAACCACAAGCCTTGATCTTCTCGAGCCAAAAAAGGGTTTGAGTCTTGGGGCTGGAACTCCACCAGCCCTCCAAATAGATGGAGCTGCAGGGAGATTTTTTTACTGTTTCTGTCTTTACCACAATCACAGAGGGGCTCTTAACCATCAGAGCAAAACCCCCATCCCAAGAGGAGTTTGAAGACGCTCTGTCCAAGATCAAATATTCCTTTAGCCTTCTGGTGAGTTTTGTGTACATTTTTTCCCTCCCAACATGGAAATGGAATGTTCCTCCTTCAGTTATGCTTACAACTAAACTATTCTTTTCCCCCCACCACTTAGGCAAGGCTGAAACCCAATATCTCAGGCCCTAGTTCAGAGGAGCTAATATGTATTCTTTTCAAACCCTTGAAGATGGTAAGTGCTTTTGTCTGAAGAAGAAGAAGGAGATGAAGTGTCTGGTAGCTGAATTAGTAACAGTGTGTTTCTCGATCTTGCGTCTCCCAAATGTGTAGACCAGGGGTGGGTTCCAGCAGGCACTATTGCCGGTTTGCTCATGTGCATGCTATTCGCGCACGCTTGATGCACGAACGCTTAATGCATGCATGCTTGATGCACACATGCTTGATGTGTGTGCATGCTTGATGTGCATTGTGCATGCATGCGCAGTGCAATAAAATTGCTATGCACATGCGCAGAAGCAAAAATCAAGATAGTGCCGCCTATGACACCACATGGGCAACCAGTTTGGGAGGGTGGCAAGCCTGGGTCGCTGCCGGTTCCAGCAACCCAGGCCACCAAACCGTTACTGGTTCAGCCAAATTGGTCCGAACCGCTAGGGAACTGGTGTAGACTTCAACTCCCAGAATTCTTCAGCCTATATGGACATGACTTAGAATTCTGGGAGTAGCCAAAATTGGGAAACAATAGACTGATAGATGTAGAGGGGCAGTTAGATTGTAAAAGCAGCAGAAGGACATGAAACTATGCTTAAGGGACATATGACCACAGTTGAGCCCAAATTTTCTGTTGCTAAGTGAAACAGTTGTTGAGTGAGTTGTGCTCCATTTTATGACCTTTCTTGCCACAGTTATTAAGTGAATTACTGCAGTGGTTAAGTTAGTAACACAGTCATTAAATGAATCTGACATCCCAATTGACTTTGCTTATCAGAAAGCCACAAAAGGGGACCACAGGACTCCTGGATGCTGCAACTGTCATAAATATGAACCAGTTGCCAAATGTCCGAATTTTGATCATGTAATCCAGGAGATGTTGCAATGACTTTAAGTGTGAAAAATGATCACGTCACTTTTTTCAGTGCCATTATAACTTTGAATGGTCACTTAGTGAACTGTTATGGATTGAGGACTACCTGTGTATTACTTAAGTAACAAATGTGAACTGTGAAACTGAATGGAATAGAATAGAATAGAACAGAACAGAATAGAATTCTTTATTGGCCAAGTGTGATTGGACGCACAAGGAATTTGTCTTTGGTGCATATGCTCTTAGCGTACATAAAGAAAAATAAAATAGAATACATTCATCGATAATCATAAAGTACAACACTTAGTGATAGCCATAGGTTACTAATAAGCAATCAAATCATACTAGGAAATAAATAAAACAATATAAATTGTTTTATACAACATGGTTATAATCATAGGTGGGAAGAGATAGGTCGTCAGTTCCACTAGTTGCAGAGTTGTGTAATATACCGTATATACTTGAGTATAGGCCGACCCAAATATAAGCCGAGGCACCTAATTTTACCACAAAAAACTGGAAAAGTTATTGACTCGAGTATAAGCCGAGGCGGGCTTTTTTCAGCCCAAAAAGTGGGCTGAAAAACTTGGCTTATACTTGAGTATATACGGTAATCCATGAAAATCTCATGATAAACATGAGATTAGATTGCACATATCAATGATTCCTATATGAGTGTATTGGTAAATTTCCCTGGGAGAAGATGGAGCTTCCAGGGGAACAGATAATATAGATTCTGATTCTCATTTCCCTTTTCAGATTGTGGACGCTTCTGGGGGTGTCGAATTTGCTTCTGAATTGCGCAATCCCATGCTAACTCTAGAGGCAGTAACTTTGATGCAAAGCTGCTTGGGAGAATGGGAAACAGAACTGTGGCATTCTCTGGGTGAAAACTGGACTAAGCCCAGGTAAGGGGATTCGAGTTTGTTTTCCCCTGCTTTTTTTTCCCCCCGCCTTCTTATTTTTTCTCTCTCTCTATAGGATGTGGTTTAATCCATTCACTTCTACTTCTTCCTTCTGTAGTTTTCTAACTATTACAATTTCCTTATTCCTTTCTTGATGCTATTGGCCAAGGGTCTCCAAACATGGCCCCTTTAAGACTTGTAGACTTCAACTCCCAGAATTCCTCAGCCAGCCATGCTGGGAGTTGAAGTCCACAAGTCTTAAAGTGTCCAGGTTTGGAGACTCATGCTACTGGTTATTTAATTTTGGTGAAATAGCCCCCTCTGCCTCTCAACTGAAGTGATATCACAGATGATCTGGATCCACAAGCAAATTACTTAATAAGGATTGGAAACTTTGGAATTTGAATTCCAAAATCTTCTCTAAGATGTTAGACCAATTCATTTATGATATAAATATGGTGTGTCTGTTGTGGATTGGTTGACAGCTGTTGCCTGGGTGGTTTATTTAACTTGCAATGATTGAAAATGTGATGACTTTAGCTCCTTCCTTCTAATTCACATTATTCTTATTTGCTTTGTCCGTCAAGGGTGGATTTCCCCAGGGGCTATGCGGCTTCCTACAACCTGACTTTCTGCAGTGGCTGGGAGCCTCCTAACCAAGATGCTTTTGGGAGACTTTGGGAAGACCCAGTAGAGATGCAAAACCGCCATGAAGAACGCCGTAATCAGGTCAGTGTTGTGAACATAAGCTTGCATTCTGAGCAAGAGAATGGCTATAAAAGGTTCTGCAGCCTTTTGGAACAGTTGAAGAAGTAGATCAGAGGTGGGTTCAGAGGTGGGTTCGTACCAGTTCACACCAGTTCGGTAGAACTGGTTCGTCAAATCTACCGAACCGGTTAGAAGAGGTTCCACCAGTGGACCCGGAAAGCAGGCCACACCTACAGAAGAGGTTCCAAAATTTTTTGAAACCCACCACTGACACACACACACACACACACACACACACACACACACAGAGAGAGAGACAGACAGACAGACAGACAGACTCACAGAGAGAGAAGGGACAGAGAGACAA